GTCGGCGGGGGTGGGGGGGGGGGTTGCAGTTGCCCTGGTCTGCTCCTCACACCCAGGACCCAGCAGAAACCAGGGTGCTGGAGGGGGCCCAGATGATCCCACCTGCTCTGCACATGTGTGCACGTGTGTTCTCAGAGCGCCGTGCCCGCCACTGCCCTGGGCAGCCAGGCGAGGCCCCCTGGAGGAGTCCGCGCCACACGCTTTGCCCATCTGTCCTGGGCAGCCCTGGGTGTGTGCCCAGCTATCTGAAGGGGCCTTTGCCCACCCTGGGGCAATGGCTGGGATGCAGGTGACAGAATTCAGAGGGAAGCGAGCTGAGAGCCACGGTTCTGGATAGGCGAAAGTACGCGGGACAGAGCGCGCTGCAAACACAGGCTGCCTAGTGGCCTCCTGGCTTGTGCAGACCTGCGTCTCTGCGGGCAGCTCTCAGCCTGGGGAGGGGCAGGAAAGGGCCCGCTGAGTGTCTGCAGGAGGCAGGAGCTTGGGGCTGGTGACGGGCAAGGGACCCTCAGGTTGGCCCTGCCCTCAGAGCTCTGAGAGTGGCCGCACCTCCCCCTTGATGAGACAGAGGCTTGGTGTGACACCTGGAGGGACTCTGCTGGCTGCTCGGCTGAGCAGGGGTGCCCCAGAACTGGCTCCTCTCCCTCAAGGGCCTCGGAGCTAGCGCATGTGCACGCAGGGCTCCTAACAGAAAGGACGCCCGCGGGCACCTGCTGCCCTCCTGCGGGCCTGTGAGGGCCAGCCATGCTGCGGAGACCCGTGCCCACCCATTTGCCCCACAGCACAGCCACAGCGGTCCCGGCTGGGGTTTCTGGCCTCATCCTGGATGTTTATAGGACACCAGGCCCCTCGCACCGGCCCGGGCCCCACCGGGGCCTTTGCTGTCTCACAGCTGCCCTGGCCATTTAACCAGCCCCTGCCTCGGGGAGGCCACGACCCACCACCGCCTCGCTCGGCCCAGTGCCTTTGGTGGTGGAGGGGTGGGGAGAGCTGCTTGGACAGCGGTGCGTGCCCTCACAGGTGCCGGGGCCCGGCTGTGTCCAGTCCAAGGCAGGCTTTCTCAGGGGAGGGTTCTGCGGGAGAAACCTCTCCGGATGCCCTGGGAAATGCCAGGGTGTCTACGGTGACAGCAGAATGTCGGCCCCTCCTCTGCCCAGCCGAGGACACTCTCTGATAGCCCCAGGCTCAAGGACCCAGAAGGCACGCGTGAGTCTGAGGGTTCCCCGCAGGTTGCAGGCCATGGGGAGGGTGGCCTGGCGCACAGAGCCGTGTTGGGCAAGGCAGGCAGGGAAGGCTGCTACCCTGTCGCCATGGAGATGGAGGCGTGGTCAGATGCTGCTATTCTTAGCCCTGTGGTGCCATTGGTGGCATGCTGGGGACACAGGAAAGCAGGAGGCTCTCCATCAGGCACTGCCATGACAGGTGGCTGGGGACACCCTGGGGCCGTGGCTCACCCTGCTCTAGGGCAGGGCCCTGGGGAGAGTAGCACCAGCAGACATGGGGCTGCAGGGGGAGAGGAGGCGAGGCCCCTGGTGGCCTCTGGGAGGGGATGCAGCGGGGCTGGCCATGCAGCAAGCCTCCCTTGGGCCTGGCCTGCAGCTCCTAGGTGGGGCTAAAGCCCCAGGACAGCAGAGGGGCGTGACCCTGGCAGGGGCAGGGGGTCTCTGTCTGTCTGCCGAGACTTCTTGGGTCTGACTGAGCTAGGTCCCAGCGGGAGGGATCCTCTGTCCAGGGCCAGGTCTGGTCTGCCCATCCCCCGCTATTCCTCCATTCAGTCATGGCCACCTGCTGACCCCACCCTGAAGACACGCTCCTGCCTGTCACTTTCATCTCTGTAACAGGGCCCGCTCCCTGCCCGCAGGACATGACAGGAGCCCCCCAGTGCCTCTGAAGAGATGAGAAGAGGTCCCAGGGCCCGAGGTCACAGCGGGCAGATCAGGGGATGGCAGGGGGTCTGCATTGCCACCCAGTGACCCGGCCAGGACAAAATTCTGCAGCCACCACCCCTAGGTCCAGAGAGGGCGGGGTGACCCGGAGAGCACCCAGCCCGATCCCCGCCCCTACAGGGCTCCAGAGGGCCTCACAGGTGCCACCACGGTGGAGCTGCTGCAAGGCCAGGGCCTGCGATGGCCCCTTGGCAAGGCTCTAAGGTCCCTTGGCCCAACCGCCCCTTGTGGCCTCTCACCGTTGACAGTCAGGGTCACCTCTCTCTCTCCGGCCCCCACCCGGGGCACCACGGCCCTGCACACGTATTTCCCAGCATCCTCCTGGCGGACGGACTTGAGGGTCAACGTCTTTTCGTTGCTCAGGACCTAGGAGAGTTGGAGGGTCAGAGAGCAGGGGCAATGCCTCTGGGGGTGCCGGCAGGAGGCAGGTGGCCTGGGGTTGTACAGGGAGGCCCCACTGCGTGGGCCCATGTGGGACCCCCAGGCCTTCTCGCACAGGGAGGGGCGCCACCCCCTGCTCCACCGTGGCTGCCCCTTCCAGGCTGGTCACGCCTGGGAAAACTCCCTGGGGCTGAGCCGGGTCCCAAGTCATTTCAGTACCCCCCGGGGTTCAGCCAGGGTGGGGAAGGCGGACTGCACAGACCCGGCCTGGGGGCGGTGCCCTGCCGCTGTTTCCTGTCTGCAGGATGGGGTCCCGCCTCACGGTGCAGGTCGGCCGTGGGGAGGGGTTCCTCTACCCCAGGGCTCTCGCCGTTCCCCCTGGTGGGGCACCTCACGCACCCCAGAGGGGCACTCGGAGAGGATAGGCAGACGGGGCTCTGAAGGGGCGCATGGGGGCTGTGTGTGCCCCTCGCCACTCTTCTCAGGCTAAGGCTAAGGGTGTCTGTGCTCCGGCGAGGTGGGTCTGGGGCTGTCCCCTCCCGGCTCGCCGGGGTCCTCGCGACCCCCATGGACAGCAAGCACCTAGAAGCCAGGCCTGGGGGCTGCCGACTCACCACACCCGAACCCCGCTTCATCCAGACGACGGTCAGGGAGGGGTTGCCGGTCCAGGCGCAGCTGAAGACGGCATCGGAGCCCAGGTCCACCTGCACGGACTGCGGCTCCTGGCTCAGCCGGGGCCCGACTGCGGGGGAGCAGGCCGGGCTCAGGTGACAGGGCTCTGGGGAGCGCTCCCCTCTGGTCTGTACCACCCACTGCCCGGCCTGTCCCCTCGGTCTGTGCCTCCTGCCTGCCTGGGGCGGGAGAGGACCCGAGTGAGAGGCAGGTGGCCCACTGAGGGCTCCCGGGGTGGCCTGGGGCCCGATCTCTGCCTCCATGGCTCAGTCGGTGCATGAGTGGGCCTTGCCCTGGTTGGGACCGGGCCTCGGGGCACAGGCTCTGGCCCGAGTTGGCTCTGCCATGCAGCTCAGGGCCTCACGGGCCACCCTGACTGCCGTGTCCTGGCCAGTTCACCTGCATCCTGGGCCACCCCCCCAGTGCCCACTCCTGCCACCTTCTCAGGCACCGCCGTGGTCGCGGCCACTGCCCCGCGGGCGGCAGTACTGAAGGAGCCAGGCCAGGGTGCAGTGCTGAAGGAGCCAGGCCAGGGTGCAGTGCTGAAGAAGCCAGGCCAGGGTGCAGTTTTAACTGGGTGCTTTCTTCTTTTTGTCTCTTATGTTTCTATCTGAAATGGCGCTATCTTGGGCCGCAGGCTGACAGCGAAGAACAGGCGTGGAGCCAGGGGAACGCGCCCTCCGCCACAGGGCTGGCAGCCCGGAGGGGCTGCTGAGGCCGCGGGAGGCCACAGGGAGGGCCCGGCAGCACCCATGGCCCAGAGCGAAGGCAGTCTCTCAGACCTTGAATTCTCCCTGTGCAGCGCTCTGTGCTGAATCAATAAGCAGATGGTTTTCCCTGGGACAAGGACTGAAGGTGCGGGCTGGCCTCCTGGGCTCCTCCCGGGCCTCCCCACCCAGGACTCAGCCAGGACCGTCTTGTGGTGCCCCTGCCTCCCTCTCTGCCCACACGAGACCAGCTCCTGGCCTCTGACCTGCCGAGTGCTGGAGGGCCCTGCTGGCAGCTTCTCCCCTTCCCCAGCAGGCCCCCACTCGGCCTGCCACCCTGCCCTGGTCCGCAGAGGGTGCAGTGCTGGGGTCAGGCCAGGCGGCCCAGGTGCAGAGAGCCAGGCAGGTCTCAGTGCCCCTTGAAGGGAGCAGGTGGGGCCCAGACCGCAGGCAGGCAACCAGTGAGAGTGGGACATAGAAAGCCACAGAACCGCCTGCTGGGCCGGGGTGAGGGGCTGGCCGGGGTGAGGG